TTGCTTGACATCTTTCCTTCATAATAATCATTCAGTCTTAGTTGCATGGTCATCTGTGTCTGGAAAAAAGACCAAGAAATAGAGGTTTTTGAAGACTCAGCACATTCCCATTTCTAATAGACAGCTATGTTTATAATGTAAAAAGATAAAGATACTTGGTAGGCAATTATTTCTTCTTCAGATGAATGGGATATAATTCAAGGGAAGTATTTCTCAACAATTATATTTTCTTAATTAGACACATGTGCCTAATTACAAAAACACTTATTTTTGTTTTGTTTTTAAACTTTAGGGGATTCAACTCAGTGCTTCCACATTGACCTACATACTAAGTTTTTAATTTTAATTTTAATTTTTTTTCAATTTCGAGACTGGCTTTCTAATTGCTAAATTTCCTGCAACTAGAAATCTTCCTGCCTCAGCCTGCTAGTGTACTGGGATTACAAGCATGTACCACCATGCTTAGCTATCACTTAATTTTTTCATAATCTTTGTCACAATACCTTCCATTCTCTCTCACAAAAATTAGCCCTGTTTTGGTCATAGTTTGTTTTGTTTTGTGCTAATGAAGATTAAGCTAAGTGGATGCATAAGAGTGTAGTCTAGGAAGATTTTCTGATTTATGCATCACTTGTAGGTTGTGTTACTGCTGCTACTTAGAAATAGCAAACTACTTGAGCTTTCTGGAAATGGAATTCACTTTAACGCTTTCTTTCTACTTTATTGCCTACAGATAACTTCTGAATAGGTAACACATTGCTCTTTTTTAAAATTTTAAAGGTAATAAAATCCAACAAAACAAAATAGAACAAAGCCAATCAAAACAAAGTAGTAATATTGTTACAGAACTTCAAAGCAGGATACTAGGAAAACAACAGTAATTACCATAGTATATCTTGTTATATTCACAATAGCTGTCCATTCCATCAGGCATAACAAAATCAAAGCAAAAAACAATAAAACTAATCAAAACAGGACATTAAATAAAGCAAAACAATCAGAACAAAACAAAACAGTGAGAACAATTTTGGATTTCAAAGAAAAGACAGAAGGGAATTCCTTACATGTGCTACATTGTTTACTGTCATCCTCCCAATAGATGCTCATACCACTAGCCCCAGGCCTGCAAAAGCAATCAAACAATGCAAGCATTAGTTGATTTTTGTACTTTAGTTGATATCAAGTCAGCCTGTCTTTGGATCCAGTCGGTTGCTTACGGGGTGAGGGTGGTGGAGGGTGATGTTTGATTCTTAGCTTGCGTGCTAGTAGGCTCACAGAAGATGCTATTTACTTTTTTTCTTCTTGGATCCCACATGGCTTGCATGGCTTACCAGAAAGACTGGCTAGTTGGCTTCTTGGTGGTCTCCTTCCAGTTCCAGCATGAGGCACTCACTTTTCTCTTCCTGCACCCCGAACACATTGCTCTCATACATGCAATCTTGAACTATTTTAATGCTGGTGTTTGGTCTCTGATCATTAGGATCTTTTGGTTAATACCCCAAAGATCTGAACCAAAGTAAAGAACTTCTACCATTATTGAACACGTCTGTTGTGACTGGATATCTATACAAAACAAACAGCCTCTTAGCTCCTTTCTTCCATTAGGAATTAGAAAGTTTTAGCAAATCCAGAGATGATGTGATCACTGTTTTCTAGAATTACTTCCTGACTTAGTTGTCATTGCCTCTTATACCTTCATGCCTTCACAAGACTGATGTTTTTAAGATTTTACACAAGGTTTATTTATTTATGTATTTATTGCCAACCGTTTTAGAATTCTCTCACCAACATATCTAATCACAAATTCTGCTCCACTTCCTGAAAAATACTTATGATTAATTTCTAGATTGAAGAAGCTTTATTTTTTCTCTGTATTTTTCTATGATCTAAAATAAATAGATCTGTTTTGAGCTGAAGATTTCTCTGACCTCAAAATTTATGTCTTTTTCTAGATATATATGCTCTTTTTTCATATATATTTTCATGTTTTGCAAATCCTGGCTTCAATTTTATAAGCAGGAAAGACCAGTTTTTAAATTCATCAGTCAACTCTGTTTGTTTGTATTTATGAATTTAAAACACATTCATTCATTTGTGTATTTTGTGTTTGAATTTCTAAAACTATGTATGAATTTTAGAATCTTACATTTTACTATACTTAAATTTGTCAATAATTTTACATTTAATTTAGCAAAATATCAAATCATAAATAGTTTCATAAGAAGAATCTTAGCAGGAAATTAAATTTAAATGAAACTTATTGAGGGTGGTTCAGCTCTTGAATTATCTGGCCCTGCAAAAAGTACGTAGTCCTTAGGTATATCCAAACATGTATCCCATACTTTCACATTTTAGGACTTTTAGGGGTATATGTATGTTTGTTTAATTAATAGGATATTGTATGGTGGCACTGAGAGTTTGCAGGGAAGAGGCAGAGAAATGGCTTTTACAAATCTTTTGTTTCGCAGATGTGGCCATATAGCCCTCCAGTGAAACTGCACTAGTGTTTGCAGAATTATTGTTGTTTTAATCTAGAAGGTATTTTGAGGATAAAGGTAATTAATTATCAGGATCCAACTCTGAAAATTGTAAGTGTCTCATTCCCTAGCATTGAAAAGGGGTATAAAATTTATATTTTAAAGCTAAATTGTGTCCACGTATACAGAAGGGATCTTATCTTTAGTTGACTTTTAAAATAACCTAAATAAGAACAGGGACCATGTCCAGAGTTGTGTTCAGATCTAGACTCAGTTCAGATTAGTTCCTTCACAGTTAACTGTTTCTAATTTGTTTTCTCTAAATGTTGAGGTAAACAATAAACTCAACTATTTTTAGTGCCCTTCCCTTCACCAAAAAGCCTTTTGTGAATGCAGCAGAGAATTGTCTTGCTCTCATAGCTTTCTACTTTGTAAAAACAATTTCAGAAGTAAATGGAAAATGCTAGAAGTAGAAAAACAAGTATACCAGGCAGGTGTGTCACATACAGACTGATTTTAGGCAAGATTTTGAATTGCAGTCTTCTCCCTCCCTGTAAAAAGCAGTCTTAGCATATATTTCCAAAGTTTTTTGAGGTTGTCCTCTCTCTCTCTCTCTCTCTCTCCATATATACACACACATATATGTATATATATGTATATGTATATATTTAAGTACTCACATGCATATATTTTTATTATTACTTCCTCTTCTACTAGTCTCACTTCCCCCAGTCCTGCCCCAAGAATTTCTATAAATGTTAGGTTGTTCATAGTTTGATGCATTTTGTAATGCGATGAAATTTTTCATTGGACCATCCTTCCTGCAAGATTGTAACTTAAATGTAAATGGATGTGGAAAATGATAGCTATAAATTGCCCATTGGAGTTAACAGTTTTCAGATGCACAAGCAGAAATTCATCATAGTTTCATGCTTTGAAGTAGTCTGTGTAGAAAGACCCTGTGACAGCCAGATGGAAGGCTTAATCTTTAATGAACCTGACCTGGAAAGAGAAAAGGTTGTCATGTCAATAATTATGAATTCTAGCCATTGATATATTTTATGATAAATTTAAAGTAGTCCATGAAGCATTCCTATTTTTTATTTATAATTAACATGTAATGGATTGTAAATACTTCTAGGGTACAATGTTATGTTTAAATACATATATCCCAACAGGTACTGTTAAAACTATGGTAACTAACCTTTTTTTAAATCTCATTATTTCTTTATGTTTAGACCTTTGGTTTCCACTATTCTAGTTCTTCTCAAGTATAAAATGGATTATGTCTTCTGTAATCACCTTATTGCTAGAAATTAGAAATTATGCCTTCTATCTAAGTGTACATCTAATTTCCCTTATCTTCCAACTCAATCTTCTAAGTTTCTAGTGACTGTCTACTCTTATGTTTTGAGATCTTTTGTATCCTTCACCTATGAAAGATAACATGTGGTACTTGTCTCTGTTTCTAGATTATTTCAGTTAGCCTAATGTCCTCTAGTTGCATTCATTTTACTTCAAATGATAGGCTTTCAAATTTTCTTTATGGATATATGTATATATCTATATTTATAATACAGATATATGTATAGTTGTCTTTACCCGTTCATTTATTATTAGGCAATTGGGCTGATTCTGTATCATGTCTATTGTGAATAGAGCTGAAATGAACATGGAATTAACATGAACATGGATTATCTCTTTGGTATACCAATTTCATTTCCTTTCATTTCCTTTTATAGCTGGAATATATGGTTGATTTTTTTATGTTTTCAAAAACTTCCATACTGTTTTCCATATGACTGCAGATGAGAAAGACAGCAAATGATGGCTAACTGGAGCTAATTAAGTGATGCTCAACATACGAGTGTGTGTACATAGGAACAAAGTGAAGTTATGGGCTCACTAGAAGAAAGAGGCTTCAGCATATTTCTTCTGATGGGAAATCCAGTTATAGAAATGGTATAGTGAGCTGATTGGCTGGTAGAACTGTTGCTCAAAAAGAAATGATTGAGTTTTCAAAGACCAATATTGTATTGGTTATAGGTAAGGTAGAACATTAGTTGGCAGTGCTGCTTCTCAAAAAATGTTCATATTTTCTTAGATGAATTGACTATTGATTTCCCTGTCCTGCCTCCACTCCCTTTTCTGCTAAATCCAGTTTCAAACACAAGTGATTTTTAGTGGGAAATGTTGATAAAAATGTTGATGCTCAGCACCTTGACAGTTAGGATAAACTTTTTTAAAATATATTTTTTCATCACAACATGTTTCCCCTAAAGTTTTTTGTTTCATCAGCGGTGGAAACAGCAAAAACAATGTTTAAAAGGGAGTATATAGGAGATGATCTATACCCCTTTCAAAATCCAATCCTTTTACATTTATCCTAAAAGGCAATTAGGATGATCTAAAAGTACTGTTTCACCAGAAAGACCTGTGGATTCCTAAGAAACCAGAACACTGGAGAGTAACAGTGATTCTCAGGAAAAGCTGATGAAATTATGTTTTCTTTTCTCCAAACAGATCAGAATGAAGGATTTCATTGCAGGGAAGAATGCCGGATTCTTGGTCACTCTGACAGGTGCTGGATGCCCCGGAACCCCATGCCCACCCGCTCCAAGTCCCCTGAGCATGTGAGGAACATCATTGCGCTGTCCATTGAAGCTACTGCTGCTGATGTTGAAGCTTATGATGACTGTGGCCCCACCAAACGTACTTTTGCAACCTTTGGGAAAGATGTCAATGATCAGCCGGCTGAGGAGAGGCCCACCTTAAAAAGCAAGAGGACTGTTGATGTGACCATCTGCAGTCCCAAGGTCAACAGTGCTATCCGGGAGGCAGGCAATGGTTGTGAGGCTATTAGCCCAGTCACCTCTCCTCTCCATCTCAAGAGTCCTCTGCCCACCAAGCCTTCTGTGTCTTACATGGTTGCTCTAGCTCCTCCAACCCGTGATATGGAGCAGTACATCAGTAATGTCAACAATGGCCCTTCTCGTCCTTCTGAAGCTGAGCCCCGTGGAGCTGACAGGGAAAAAGTTATTCATGAGGTCAGCACTATTCTGAAGGAGGGTCGTGACAAAGAGTCCCCCAGTGTGAAGCGTCTGAAGGATATTGTTCTTTAAATCGATCTTGGGAAAGAAGAGAAAGAAACCATGCTGGCTAGCAAAAATGCAGAAGCTGCTCATTTTAATTACTTACCAACGTTGGTTCTTGAGTGGCTGTATTTCAGAGCTTTCCCTAAGTGTGTTGTTTATAAATGACTATTATCCTGCAACAGTCCCTCTCGTTTCAACAGGCAGCAGGGGTGTTCAGTTGGAGCAAATTAGCTTTGATTTGAGTTGTTCATGGGGCCTTGATGTTGGGGAAACAGAGATAAATTCAGTTGTGAAAAGTATTATGTATTAAGTGTTTGAATTTATATATTTTTCTATGTCAAATTTATAAATTATCATTGTTTGTGGATGATTACATTTAAAAAGGCAAAAATCAAACAAAAAAAGCTCTGGACACATTTAATAAGCTCGCTACTGTTTTTGTAGTGTAGACAAGTTAATGGTCATATATTGTGTACTATTCATTGATTCAGTGATGTAAAATCGAGCCCCCAACAGGTTGTTTCTGACGCTCAAGTAGTTTCCATTGCCGCTATTTTGCTGTGGACACCCCTGCTTTAAGAACCCTTTTGCTAGCTGTGCTATTGTTGTTTTTGATATTGCAAATTGCTATGTGTGTGGTGATGGCAAAAGGCTTTTAAGGATTGGTGTTTTTCTTTTCTTTAAAAACAAAGTACAGACAAACACAAAGTGCAAAAAACTGAGACAGCAATTGAGTAAGCAACACCACACCTAGTTGAGTACTTAGATGATATTCAGGTTTATCAAACCATGTAGTGATTGCTTATCATCTTGGAAAGTATTTTTCCTGCCTTTCAGTCTTCTGCCTGGTTCTGTGATAGATAGTTTCAGAAAGTCATTTTTGGATATGCTGCTATCTAATTGGCAGTTGTCAGAAATACTGTGCTGAAAGTTTTATGAGATCCATTTTTCTTTATCTCAATCCCTGAATAGGAAAGTTGTTCTTGAAGTTATCAGGTTTCAAGCTTAGAAATTCCCTTTCTCCAAACATCTAAAACCTAAAATGACTGATTCTATTTTGAGATCTAAATTAGCGTCTTTTTGTCACATATTTCCTGATTCAGTGTTTCTCAATTATGATTGGAATTAGACTGTAAAATACTTCATGGACTGGAATTGAGAACTCCAAATTGCTCTGTATCTTAGGCTTAAAAATAAGGATAGAGTAAGTAGTACCCACTGTATATTTAACAAAAGACAGATAAGAGGTAATAGCATCACTAATCCACTTACTGTGCCTTCTAAATGGAGACACTCAGACACTTGAATTTGTCTTTTTATGACTAATATTTTTGATTAAAATGTGAACGAGAAACTATTAAAACAAAAATCCTTTAGATTTAGGTAATTCTTATAAAATGTGTGTGTACCTTTTTTAAATTAATAAATTGAACATTCTTTTTGTTGTTGTTTTAACACTTTTCTAACTCCTAATTTATCATTTTTTCTGTTAATATTCACTGGCCAACATAGTATTCTTGCAGCTTAAGGGTTGATTATTTAATAATAAAAAAATATGTCATATGTGCTCTACCTTTGCCTTAAATGAGTTTCTAGAGAAACATGTTTTGAGCTTTTCTTCATAATCATTTCATGTTTTGAAATTCAAGGTTGCCAGAAAGAAGGTCTGGAGGTTAGAGCACTAAACTACAGAAGAATTTGTTTTCTTAAGTTTATGTAGATAATGTCAGCTGTTGTCAATGTTTTAGTTATTTTTGCTTGAGTTCCTAGCTTTATCTATATACTAGGAATATTTTCTTTTATGGAAGGGGAAAGGGCATTGAGGGAGGGAGGGTGGTAAGACAGTTGGGTGGGGTTAGTAAGAAAGAACATTTCTGAAAAAAAGAACCTGTGATGAAGCTACAAATCCACTTTTACTTCTTATTCAGTGCTGAATACTACCTCATACAAAATATTGGTATGGCTGCAAATTTCCCTCTGAAACTGACACAATTAGAAATGCACTTCCATAACAGCTTTATTTTGCATCATTTTATTCTCATACTTTTTTCTACACTTCTGATTTATTTCATTTTGGTAGTAGATTCTACGATAGGTATGTATTTCCCTTTACAAATGACTATTTGGTTAACCCAATAATGACAAACAACAAAAAATCTCCTTTAAGTTATGATAGCTGCCAATAGAATTTAGATTGTTTACCCATTATCCATCCTGTTATTATGTCATTAGTACCATCCCAAGGTCACTTTGAAGTTACATTAGACAGTTTTCTACAGGCATATTTCATTCTATGCTCAGTAGGAATGAGGGAGCTGGAAAGATTGTGGAAAGTAGATACATTAAATGCTATGTGGCTGTTGAGCCAGAAGAGCCACTGGCTGCCATGTCTCTTACCAGCCAAGTTTAAAATAAAGTAGCAACGGCATTAATTTTGCTTTTTGACTGCGTTTTCTTCAGTTTTCCCCCCAAATTGAGTTGCAGGTTGTAGATTCATCTTTTTTTCCCTTCGCCAAATACTTTGCTCTCATTGAGCAGTCAAAGATTTTTGATTGTTTGTTTGTTTTTGCTTCCAAAACTTTACTGATCATGTTCAGTGATTTTCTCCCATTAAAAACATCTTATTTTCCTCTACAATTGTCTGATATATGCATCCTTCCAGAAGCACAAGTGAATTCTAGAAAGGCTTTACAAGCTGATCTTAAAAACAGGCAGTACTTGCAAATCAGAACTTTCTGCAAGGATCCTAAATCTTCTTTTGGCTCATGTTTTTACTTTTCTTTTAAGCATGCCTAGTGAAAAGCCACAAGGGCCAAAGGGCCAAACATTATTTATTTTCCTCCTTCTAACATGTAACACATTTAAACAACAGGGAACAAGTTTAATTTCTAAATCCTTTTATTCTAATGTTTCATAGTTTTGAAGCATGACATACTTTGCTATCAATTGTTTTCAGCAATTCTGTGGGGCAGATAAACTTTTCCATGCAATATTAGGAGTTTAGTTTGCATTGGTGGATTGCTTTCCCCACTGTGGAAATATATGATACAACAAAAAAAAGAATCAAATTATCTTTTGCATATAATAGTTTATGAACTGGTTCACAATGACAACATCCTCTGACCTCTTAAATCTGTTAGACTAAATTGTGGTCCATCTTATTACTGACATAGGTAATGAGCTAAGGGATCCTGCAGATCCTGCAGAGCAGTGGTTCTCAAAATGCAGTCCCTGGAGCACAAACAAGAAAATCACTTGGGAACTTCTTAGAAATACTAATTCTCTGCATCAAAACCTGCGGATGGAGTCCACCAATCCAGTAAAATCAGATATCAGCAAAATTTTGGGGCTTATTAAAACTCAATTTGGTAGACTCTTTCCTTAGAGTTTCTGATTCAAATGGTCTGGCCTGATTCTGTGCATATCTAAAGTTTCCCAAGTGATTCTGATAGGACCACACTTTGAGTATCACTACTCCAGAATTAACCTGCCTAATAGAACTAGTGGTACCCAAGTTGTCCATTTAAACAAATTCTCTCACATGGTGACTCACTGATCATTAATGAAAAATATTATATAAAACACAACCCTCTGAAATCTGGAACCACCCAGACTATATCTTCCCAATAAGTTTCACTTCAGCATGTGATTAACTGATTGAGGGGAATTTGGTTGACCTTTTTCTGTGCCCTTTCATATGAAAATCAAACAAAAAATGTTGTTTACTTGAAGCAGCAAAGACAAAGGACAGTTTGGGGAAAGGCAGGGATAAAAAGGATAGCTCATTTGAGTATCCAAAGTAAAAACAACAACAAAAATGATTATTATTGTATATAGTAGTTCTGGCTAACATTCCACTTCATGGGGATCATTTTGGTGTTGAATGCTCCCCACGGCATCCTAACAAGTCTGGTCCACTTGGCTCTTTACCCAGGGTAATAAGACTCTTATGGACTTTGAAAATCTGGCATAAATGAGCTCTTAAGTCCATTGTATACAGTTCTAGTGTTTGCCTTCTTGGTAAAATTACATTTAAGAATGTCATTTCATGAGTCAAATTGTATCTGCTGACACTGAAGTGTATTGAGATATTGTTCTTTAGTTTAAGTATGTAACAAAGTAATATTCAAAGGGGATGTGTGGGGGTGGGGCTGGGACCGGGTGGCTTTATATTGATAATGAAATATTCCAGAGCAAAACACATTGTCCTAATGAAGTTGTTGCAGCTCTCTTTGTTTTCTCGTGAGGCTGGAATTGGCCTGTGGGTCACTTGTTGTGCAAAAGTGAATTAATTTCAAATAACAATCATGTTGCTTTCATAAAACAAAGAAAATAAACCACCTTGTCTGAGATATACATTGCAAGAGGCTCTTGGTAAAGAACAACCCACAAACACCCGATCTTGATTGGAAAGCATTCTAGGTCATTAGGGAAAACAGATGATGCTGACTGTTGCTTCAGCTGTGTTGGCAATTAAAGATGACCTTGTTACTAACTGCAAGTTGCTATGACCTTTAGTAAACAAACCAGCCAACAACATTACAGCACTGGTTAGGTAGACTTTCACTTGCACTGGCTGGCGTTCAGCTGAGGAAGGCTAGGATACTGACTTTAATGACCAAGAGCCAGACTAGCTTAAGCTAGAAATTCAGCAACAAATACCTCTTGTGCCGTCTGAATGCTAAGGTATTAGTTGCAAAAGGCTTACTATACCTTCACTTTTCTAGTGAGGGGAATGAGTCTGATGATACTATTATTGTTTACCTGTCAAACCAGGGTGGAAATTTAGATGGATACAAGTACAGTATGTTTCATTGAACAGTTTCTGTTGCTGATTATATGAAGATGAAATTGTTGTATATGCTGATCTGTATTTTATGTACATTTTCACAGTGATTGAATCATTGTAAAAAAAGACAAAAAAGAATCACAGCTCTATTTTATGAAGATGATAAAGCAGCTTTATTAAATTATTACAGTTATGTTTTAAATGGTATTATCTGCCACATTGTTACTTTTTATCTGGTGGTTCTCTGTTTCCCCCTTAAATGTGTTTTCTCTGCTTCAAAATTTAATGCATTTTAATATTAAATGATATTATGGAAAAATTATCAAGTGTCTGGTGAAGTGTGTTTCAGAGCATATTTGTTGGCTTGGAATAAGGATAATTCTTAGATCTAGAAGGTAATCAGACTTTGATGTGGTCATTGATGTTCAGATCTTTTCCATTTCACACAACTCCCCACTCTCCAACTGAGAGGAATCCCTTCCTCCAATCAGGCTCCAGTCACAGTCACTGCTGAGTACCCCCTCTCCCTGCCATTCCTATCGGTACCTTTGTGTGAGAAAGAGGGGGTCTCATCCACATTCAAAATGGCAAAGACTTTCTAGGGTGGAATTTTGAACAAGAGTGTTAAAAATCATTCCTTAAAATAAATCACTTTGGGGGCAACTTCAACATGGAACTGCTTTTAAAACGTGGAAAATAGTAGAAGCTGTTATAGGGGAAAAGTTAGTTTAAAACAAATGTGACCTGGCTGCCTCTTTGATGCCTTCAGGCATGAAAGCAAAGCAATGGGAAAGGCTCTCATTATGGACATAACAAAGCCGCAGATAAAGCTCTGATAACTTTCTTTATGTAAACCGTTATTCTCTGGGACTTAGCATTTGGGCTATAAGTATTCATTCTGAATTTAAATGGCGGATGAAAAAAATCAGAGTAGAGAATAAAGGAGGACATGGAAAACTATTCTAAGTAATGCCTTTGGGGGTAAAGACTAAATTATTTAGCTTGATCTATTCTCTCTAAACAATTAAAAATGGTGTCAAGGATATCCACTGTCTCCCTAGATCTCCAACTTCATGTTATTCTTACTCAACTGTATTAAACTGAAATTACATCTTCTTCACCAGAATTAACCCTAGGGCTTCAGCAATAGCCAGTGATTTTGGTCAACAATAGCCATGATTTGGTACTGCAGCTTAACAGATGTTGCCTCATAATGCAAACGTATCTGCTGGGACACACACAATCACATACACTAGTGTATGTACAGATGTTCACAGAATCTCACAGATGTTCAAGTCTTATTGGAAGAAGGCTGGTATGTCACTGGCGTGGAGTCAGTTAAGCCACAGAAAAACAAGCAAGTGTTTCTGGGTTAGTCCATAACAAAAACATCAAGAAAATACATTCTTTGACCCTCTTCTATCTACCCTAGATTTGGGAGAAAAAAAAAGTCAATGGTATCATCTTCACAAAATAATTTCCTTCAAGAACAAACAAGAGGAAATTATTCCCATATCATGAAGTGCATTCATATATGCAACCGAGGCATATTCAAGATCAACAGTAAGTGGGAGTAAGTGTGGAAGAGTCTCAAGATTATACACATAAATTCAAATATACTCAAACTTATAAAACAGCCAAAGCATATTACTAAAAATATCCATATCATTTTAGTGACAAAGAGCTTATGATACACTACATGTCTGTCATTGGCTTGTTATGTGTGGGGTCATGAAACCATGTGGGGAAGCTGAATATGGTGGTACACGTGTGGCATACTAACACCCAGAAGCCTGAGGCAAAAAAAAAAAAAAAATTGCTGTGAATTGATGAATACAAGTCCAGTCAGGACTACACAGGGAGTTCATGGCCAGGTTGAACTACATAATTGGATTCTGTCAAAAAAAAAAAAAGGAAAGAAAGAAAGAAAGAAAGAAAGAAAGAAAGAAAGAAAGAAAGAGACAAAGAAAAGAAAGGAGAAGGAGAGAAGAGGATATTATCTCATAACACATGGCAGTTTATCCAGAGACAAACACATTGAGGTTAACCTTAGGGAATTAGCCAGGCACCCTTCTTGGAATGTCTGAGTGGTTCAGGGAGGCAGAATTTTGGGTACCATATATGGTTCCTAGCTCTTTTCATGCTGTCATGCTTGTTCTGCTCTGCTTCTTGGCCAAGAGGAATATAGCATTTTTACTCCTCCATGGCCTTCCACCATGATGTTTCTGTTTTGGAGCCAGTTGAGGATGAATTGAACGCTCTGAAACTATAAATGATATTAAAATTGTCTTTTAAAAATTTTTAAAAGAGATTAAGACAAAAGAGAACATAACAAAGCAGATCAGAGGAGAACAATTTAAGCAACACAGTTTCACCACAAGAAAAGCCTATATAATAGTAGCTACCATAAAGTCTCTTTCTTTGAAATAGTTGAGCATAGCTTCATATACAATAGTATCAAACATCACAAAATAGTACAAAATCATACAAGAGAATGAAAGTATTATAGGGCATTCAGAACCAAATAACCAAAAATGAACAATGGCTACTAAATAATCTCATTTTCCATAAAAATTTGTTTATACTATCACACATAATAAAATCCAATAACACAATAAACCAATGGAAACAGTAGAACCAAAGCATGGTAGGACTTCAAAGCAAGATGATATTAAATCAGCACTGGCTATTACAATGTCTTGCTTTCTTCAAAATAGCTGATCATATCATCACAGATAATAAAATAAAACAAACCAGGATAAAACCATTCCACCTAATGAATGAAAACATTATAAGGCTTCAAAGCAATGTAATGGGGATTCATGATTACCATAAACTCTTATGTACTCTTACCATTTCTTACACTAGGGAGATGATACGGTATTTATACATGTGAGTTTGATTTATTTCACTTATGAGTGTGGTCTCAAGTTGCATCCATTCATTTATAAATATCTCAATGTGATCATTCTTTATAGCTGAGTAGTACTCCATTGTATAAAAAGACCACAACTTTTTTATCCATTCCTCAGTTGATGGACACTTAGGTTGTTTCCAAGATCTGGCTATTACAAATTGTGCTGCAATAAACATGGGTGCACATATATCACTGTGGTATGATGCTTTCAGTTCTTCCAGGAATATGCCCAGAAGTGGAATAGCTGGATCAAATGGGACTTCCAATCCCAGCCTTTTGAGAAATCTCCAGACTGACCTCCACACTGGTTGCACCAGTCTACACTCCCACCAACAGTGTAAGAGAGTTCCTTTTTCCCCACAGCCTCTCCAGCATTTGTTGTTGGTAGTTTTCTTGATCCTGGCCATTCTTTCAGGAGTGAGATGGAATCTCAGTGTGGTTTTAATTTGCATTTCTCTAATGATTAATGATGATGAACATTTTTTCAGGTATGTATTTGCCATTTGTATTTCTTTGTCTGAGAACTGTATATTCATCTCAGATGCCCATTCTTGGATTGGGTCTTTGGGTTTCGGGGGTCTGATTTTTTAACAGATCTATTTTTATTTCAGTATCATATTGATTTTACTGTAGTAGCTTTGTACTATATGTTTTAGACAGAAGTCCTTTGTCTGAGGGGAAGTTCACTAAGATTTTTTCCCAGTCTGTGAGTTTTCTTTTCACTATGCTGGAGATTTTTTTTTTTTGACATATGCAAAATCTTTTAAATAAGACGTGATCCCAGTTATTGATTCTGGGAAGTATTTCCTGTGCGGTTTGATTCCTGTTCATGAACTCTCTACTTACCCCTATGTCTTCAAAATTTTTACCTAATTTGTCTTCCAACTGATTTAGTGTTTCTGTTTTACTATTCAGATCTTTGGTCCGTTTAGATTTTAATTTAGTATGTGGTAACAGGCATGGGTCTAGTTTTAGTTTTCAGCACATGGAGAGCCACTTTTTCCAGCACCATTTATTTATTTATTTATTTATTTTAATTTTTTGTTTTTGGTCTTTTTCCTTTTTATTGGTACTAGGGATCGAACTCAGGACTGCCTGTTTATAAGGCAGGTGCTTCTGCCACTGAGCTAAATCCCCAGCAGCCAGCACCATTTAGTAAATAGACTGTCATTCTTCTAGTTAACATTTTTGGCCCTTTTATCAAAGATAAGGTGGTTTACTGTGTTTGTAGTTGTGATTGTATCTTCTAATGTATTCCATTGATCTTCAGATCTGTTTTGATTCCAGTACCATGTTGATTTTATCACAGTTGCTTTGTAGTATAACTTCAAGTCAGGGATTGTGATGGCTCCTGCCTTGCCTTTGCTGCTTAGAACTGTCTTTGCTATTCTAGGTCTCTTCTGGTTCCAGATGAATTTTAGAAGTGATTTCTGTAGATCTATGAGGCATGTTGATGGTATTTTTATTGGGATTGTGTTGAATCTGTATCACAGTTTTGAGAGAGGGCCATTTTCACAATAGCTATTCTTCCTATCCATGAGCAAGTGTTATCTTTCCATTTTTTGAGATCCTCTTCAAATTCTATCTTCAGTGTATTATAATTTCCCATGTACAGTTCTTTTACTTCTTTCGTGAGATTAATTTCTAAGTATTTCACTTTTTTGGATGCTAGTGTGAAACGTGTGGCTTCTCTTATGTCTCTCTCAGTGATTTTGTTGTTAGTGTATAGGAATGCAATTGATTTTTGAGAATTGATTTTGTATCCAGCTACATTGCTCAATTTATTTATTACATCTAGGAATCTTTCAAGGGAGTTTTGGGGATCTTCTATATAGAGTATCATGTCATCTGCAAATAATGATAATTTAACTTCCTCTTTTCCTATCTTTACCCCTTTTATTTCTCTCTCTCTTGTCTAATTGTTCTGGCTAGTTTTTCCAGTACTGTGATGAATAGGAACAGTGATAAGAAACATCCTTGTCTTGTGCCTGATTTAAGGTAAAGGCCTTCAGTTTTTGAACATTAAATATAATGCTGGCTGTTGGTTTGTCATAGATGACCTTTATCATACTGAGGTAAAGACCATCTATTCCAGTTTTCCAAAAGGTTCTTATTTCTCCATATATTTTGAAGGACAGTTTTGCAGGATTCATCAGTCTAGATCGGAAGTTATTTTCCTTTAGGATCTGAAATACTTCACTCTGTGCTCTTCTTGACTGCATTGTGTTGAGAAGTCTGCTGTGATTCTGATAGGTTTTCCTTTATAGGTGATCTGTCTTTTCTCTCTAACAGCTTTTAATATTCGATTCTTTTGTTCGATTTCTGTGATGGTGATTATTATATGTCTGGGTATAGTTTTATTTTGGTTATGGCTATTTGGAGTTCTATATGCTTCAGTGATCCTG